TAAATTGATTTAAAAAAAAAAGGAAATGATGGCTAAGAGCTGTAAGAGCCCCAATAAAATGATTAAGAAGAGAAAAAAAACACAGATTCCCTGAACCATGCTAAATGGGAATCCCAGAGAATTAGGAATCTGTGGGTTTGCCAGCCTCCAGGGGCTTCATAGGCTCAACTTGGAACTATAAGAGATGAAGTGTGGGAAATATGGCCAAATAAATCAGCTCAGAGTTGTGAAGGTGCTGTTGAGGGAGTTCTAAGCCACAGTGCCCTGATGGATAACAACATGCAATGAAATCATGGTCAGGTTCTGTGCCACCCTCAAAAACAAAAAATGTGTTGGGAAAAACTCGAGTTATACGTGAGTATACACGGTAAGTTTATTCATTGTAAATACACATGGACCGAATAGGCGGGAACGCGCAGGAATCAACAGACGACATCTGTGGAAAAAGATGATAGAGAAGCTCAATATCATTTGTCAGAACAAGGCTGGAACTGTACAATAGTCCATCCATTGCTCATGTGCAAGGTCAAGTTAAAGTTAAAGAAAATTAAAGCTTGTCCAAGAGTGCAAAAATAGAACCCCAAGTATATGCTACATGAATTTAGCTATCCTCTTAGGAAGAGATTTGACACACTGAACACTCGTGATCAAAAACTAGACAAGTTGTGGGATGATATCAAAGACATCATATATGAAGAAAGCAAAATGTCATTTAAAAAGGAAAAAAACCGCAGCGTGCTGAGGGGATCCAGGCATGGTTGGCCGCAGACGGAGGCCGGAGTACGGGGGACCCCTGGAGCTGTTTCACAACGAGGACCAAGCCCGGAAATACGTTCGCAACTCCCGGATGATTGACATCCAGGCTAAGATGGCTGGCCGGGCCCTGGAGCTGCTCTCACTGTCTCGACCAGCCCTGCTACCTGCTGGATATTGGCTGCGGCTCTGGACAAAGTGGGGACTTTATCTCGGATGAGGGACACTATTGGGTGGGCCTGGACATCTGCACCGCCATGCTGAATGCGGCCTTGGACCGAGACCCAGAGGGAGGCCTGCTTCTTGGGGACATGCGTCAGGGCATCCCCTTCAGACCCGCTTCCTTTGACGGTGTATCAGCATCTCTGCAGTACAGTGGCTCTGCGGTGCCAACAAGAAGGCCGACAACCCTGCCAAGCGCCTCTACTGCTTTTTTTCCCTCTCTCTACGCCGTCCTGGCCCGCGGCTCCCATGCTGCCCTACAGCTCTACCCGGAGAACTCGCCGCAGTTGGAGCGGATCACAACCCAGGCCACCCAGGCTGGCTTCACAGGGTGTTGTGGTAGACTACCCCAACAGCGCCAAAGCCAAGAAGTTCTACCCTTGTCTTTTTTCTGGGCCTTCGAGCATGTTGCCACAGGGACTCAGTCGCAAACAGGCGGTCCATGTTCACCAACGAGAGGGTCACCACACGCAGGTCTTCGAAGTGAGGATTGGTGAAGAACACCCTGGACGGGGTGCTGGAGAAGAAGGAGCGCCGACGGCGGCAGGGCAAGGAGGTACGACCCGACCCCCAGTCCACCGGCCGCAAGCCCCGTTTCGGAGCCGAGGGCTGTCGCCTCAACACTGTCACCGGTGTGACCTCACCATCCCATTCGACTGGCCTCTGGGAAGCTTTTTCCACCGAAGCACTGACTTCATCAGTTGATAGAGTAGTGTTGTAAAAAGTTGTAAAGTTTTTAAAAAATTTGTGACGTTTTCAAACTTCTTTTCAAGAAATGGTTCTGTGAACATCTTATTTTGTTCTACAAGCAATAAACCACACTCTGTGGGGCTCTTCAGCAGTCCTGGCTCTGCGGGCCCACGCACGCTCTCTGCGTTCCTCTGCTGGCAGGGCTGAAAGACTTGAAGGTTTGGAAGCATTCTGATTTGTAAGGTCCTCAGCGGGACAGGGCATAGCTGAGAGGGAGGGTGGTCAGGCTTCAGTGTAGCAGAGATGCCCAGCACTGAGGCCTCTCTTGTCAGGTTCGGGGGCCTCTGGTCTGATGGGACAGCCCAGCACTCAGGGCAGGCCTTGCAGTGAGCTCTGCGGGGGAGGGGGGGTGGTCTTGCTGGCTGAGAGGAGCTCTCATGGTTGCCTGAGATGCTAGGGAAAGGGGGTGGGCCATGCTAGACAGAACTGGCCCCAAGGTGACATGGGCCCCAAAGCAATATGAAGGGCTGGTGTTCCCTGGCAAGGGCTACCGGCCCATCCCTCAAGAGGCCAAAGGTCAAAGGGGAGATGCTGGGAGGCCATTGGTGGGGACTGCACCCATTGACGAGAATCGAATTGTTGAATAAAAATTGACTCAGTTAAAAAAAAAAAAAGACTAAAATGGATGTCTGAAGAGAGTCTGAACCATGTTCTTGAATGCAGAATACTGTATGACTCTACTTATATGAAATGTCTAGAAACCACAAAAGTAGATTAGTGGCTGCCGAAGGCTCGGAGTGAAAATGTGGAGTGACCACAAATTCAAATGAGAGTTCTTTTAGGGGTGATCGGAATGTTCTAAAATTAGATTGCTGTCAGTACATAATTCTGTAAAGTTAGTTCCTTTCTCATTAGGTATGACCATTAAAAGTAGCTATGTCTACACTTCTTTGAGGTCAAGAGACATTAAACACAAAAGTAAATTATGCAGACATTAGCATCGGGTCAAATCCTCATCAAAGTTTTAAAAAAATGAATTAATGAAAATAATTCATGAACCTCTACGAATATGCCCAGAAACCTGGGTTTGGAAAACCAGTGTGAAGTACAAATGTTTCAAAGGTTATTTAACTTAAAAAGCAGAGCTATTTAACTTCACAGCGAATGTTATTCATAAAGCTATGCTATTCATAGCAATTCTAATTAGTGTGTCCATTCACAAAATGCATTAGGAAGACAGTCTCTATAACACACAACTAAAACCAAAATTGTTTTCAGTTATAAATATTTAATAGGTTTTTGAATATTTATAATTGCAATAATTTTAAAGCAAGATACACCTAATACAAAATAGTAGAGTCATTCCACTTTAAAAGGCTGCAAATATTTGGTACAAATGATTAACAAATGGTTGAGAACCATATTCTGTGGTAATAAAAACTGCAGATAATTTTGAAAGTGAATGTAATTAATACACAATCACTTAAATCAACACTAACTGTGCAAAAGTGCATCATATACGACTAAACAACAGTTGACTAATCTCTCAGAAACTTAAGCAAAGCACGTTGCTCATAACTCTCAAAATTAGTCACTAACTTGCTGATCTGATAGAAGACAGAAGACTAGGGTAACCAAACCAAACCCACTGCCATCAATCCCAGCTCACAACATCCTATCTCACAGGGCAGAACAGACATGTGCCTTAGGGTTACCAAGACTGTAAATCTTCATAGGAGCAGACAGCTTCAGCTTTCTCCTGAAAAGATTAGGGTAGAGGGTATATAACTTATTTTCCACAACTACAGAAAATTATTTCCACCTATATATCCCACTGAGGTGTTTTGTTTTGCATTTCTCTATCTTACATAAAATATAAGCAATTCCATGCGCCGCAGTTCTAATATACGAGAATTTTACTTACCATGGTCTCATTAAATAATGAGACTTCCAACAACATGGGTCATATTTCACATTTCATGCATATTAACTGAGTAATTGCATAAAGTACAAATGTCGTGGCAACCTCTTCAGTCCCAAAACCATTATGTGAATCACTGATGCACATCAAGTGGCCAATCACGTCACTTCTTCCTAAACCTGTTGGTGACCACACTGCACAGCTGTTATTCAGTGCATGCCTAGATAGCCAAACATGTAGTTATGTTGTCCCCCTCTCTCCCAATGATAGATCCATCTGTCATTTTACAAAAATAGATAATTCAAAGAGAGGGAAATTTGACAATGTCAAAAACTCTAAAGGTACATACAGGGCAATCCATTTCTTGCCATCTGATCTTTAGAAACAGGCAACTCAGCAGCATATGTGAGATTCAAAGATAATCATTTCATCGTTTCTTTTGTAACAGTAAAAAAAGGGACCACAACTGAACAGCTGAACAACATAGTGCTTGTCAAAATGTGACCCTTAGACCAGTATCACCAGCATCATCTGTGACCTTGCTAAAAATAAAAACTCTCAGGCCTCTCCCTATACTTACTGAGTCCGAAACACCAAGAGTGGGGGTTCTACGATGAATATCTTTTTAAAAGCCTTCAGATGGTTCTGATGCACACTCATGTTCCAAAATTGTAAACTATATTGTTATTCAAGTCATGCTATGCCTAACACATACCTAAAAAGAATACCATGGTACATGTGAAGAACTACTATTAAAAATCTGTGAAGACAATCGCAAGGAGTTGGAAGCAACCCAAATTTCCATCAACAGACGAATGGATTAAAAAACTATGGTACATACATACAATGGAGTATACTATGCATCACTAAAAAGCAGCGATGAACACATGAAGCATATCGTCGTATGGGAAGAACTGGAGGAAATAATGCTAAGCAAAGTAAGCCAAGCACAAAAGGACAAGTATAACATGAGTCATGCAAAAGGGGCACAGGGAAGAGCTACTGTATACAGACACTCTAGGGGTAAGGTCCAGGTAGTATGGCAGG